CGCCCCGGGCTGCGGGGACGGAGCGTGGCGCGCGCCGCGGGGGAGCCGCGCTGGCGCCCGGGGCCCGGTCACTGCGAACGGCACCCGCCAGCTGCCTTGCTCGTTAATGATTATTTAACGCGGTGCTTTTATTATTATTTTTATTTGCTTGTGTTTTGTTTTTTTTCTTTAACCCCGGTGCTGTTGCTCTGTGGTAAATCTGCGTCTTAGCAGTGTTGCTGCACACGTTAATAATCCACGTTTTCAGTTTGTGTTGTTCTGTCAGGTAGCGACCAATTTCTTCAGGTTGTTTTTACCCTTGTGTCTACACGATGGTGCAAGTGAAGTCTTTTTCTCCCACAGTGAAACCCCCTACGTGTTCTATTGGGCTTGTGCTCTTCCTTTAGCGTTCAGATAATCGGGTCTGTGGGGTTTACGCAGCACACCTAATGTGCCTGTTCATCACCAAAACTCAACTTGATGTTATTTGACTGTGATACGTGGTCATTCCCTTAATGCGCGTGCATATGAGTGCGTTGTCATAGCCTGGGATTGATAAAAGTACGGAGCAGATATGGAAAAGCGTAAGAAATAGGGCTATAACTTAAATCCTTCTCCAGTTTCTAACAATGATTCCTTTAATTCTGGACCCAGCCCATCTCTTGCATGTGTATCATAAGGTTGCTTAAAATACTGCCTTGCATTTCATGACTATTTAAATTAGCCAGCTTGGTTCCATGTGGGTATAAATGCAATAAATAAGCTGTAAATCCCGCAGCAAGAGCAAACTGCCTGACAAGCTGAGTTCTGTGTGGTCGAGGTGGCGAGAGCCAGACTGGGCCTCGTGGGCCCCCCTCGCGCATGGTTCCCTTTTTGCGCGTAGGGGGAAGGAAAGGCAGAGCCAGCAGCTCCTCGGCGCCGCTTGCGCTGGGTGCGGGCAGGGAGAGGAGGAGGAGCGAGGGCCCTGGCCGTGTCTCGGGGCAACCGCTGCTGCCTCTGGGTGACTCCTGACGTGGGGACGTGGGGACGCGGCCGCTCCCGGCCCAGCGCTCGGCCTCGTCATTTCCCCTCCTGTCTGTAGGGGTTTAAACAGGCAGCTCAGCTGCGGCTTCCCAGCTTCTGTGTGTGGTGGCTTCATACCCACCTTTTAAGGTATTCCGTGATTCACTTGCCTACCTACTGCTAATAAAATTTATGTAGAGCTCTGTAGCTTTTTTTTTTTTCTTCTTTGTGTGTGTGTGTGTGTATATATATATATATATATACGTATATATATATATATATATATGAAATACACATAAAATACACTGAGTCCCATCCGCAACTGCTGCTTCTGCAGTTAGCCCAAAGCTGGTGTCTACTGGCTCTACATCTCTGTATTTACAAGCCATTAAAAGGTGGAAGTGAGATCAATGAAATGCTGTCTCATTCCTTGGAAAACTATGAAACACTACCACAAAAGTAAGATAGCAAAGCAAAGAGCTGCATATCAGCTAGTATCTATTTTTAACTGAATTTCCTCAGGATTTCAGTTGTATTTTTCACTGTAAATTAAAATTATTTCTGGTTTTTCTTGTTTGTTTGTTTCAAATTGGAAAAATGGAAGTTTGTTCTTCAGTTTTATATACATGTGTTTTATTCATCAACTGGAATTTAATGGAACCAAGGGCTTTAAGTTCATATGAAATATATTTTTTACTTTTTTAACTTTTTAAACTTCTTTTACTTTTTGAACTTTTTTTAATAATAATGATCTCTTATATATCAAATTTTTGCTTAATAGATTTCCTATCATATAAATGTTTTTTAAAAAATGATATGACCATTGCCCTCGTATTTAAGACCCAGCATGTAGTGCACTGCAGAAAAGGGTTGTCAGTTTAACTAATGCTTATCAAGACGAG